GGACTTGAATTGATTATAGAGTTCATATATGGAAAACTGGGTCATTTAAGGGGATCCCTTAGAATAGTTTAGAAAACTATGTTAACATTTTTGTACTCTTGCTTGCTATTGTTCACAGTTGAAATTTTTGCTTACAATATACCAAATCAGAATGTTTCAAATTTTGTTCTCTCTCTGCTAAACTGGGACGTTTATTCTTTATAGATAGATAAAGTTTATAATTGAGCACCATAATATAATGAATAACATGAAGGCTTGTAACTGATGATTTTTTTTCTCACATTGTTCAGTGTTTGTATTTCGATGGGGTAGAGATAGAGGCCAGTTGGCAATAACATTTTTGTTGCTTTTTCTTTGATAACCGAAAACAATATGACATGTTTGTAATAATTAATGAAAACAGAAAATGAAGTATAATTTTTTTTGCAAACCAATCGTATACTTATTATTTTAGCTAATCCTTTTTTAATATAGTCATTTTAAGATGTTTATAAATAGTATTTTCATTTCAATAGCCACTAAATAGCACTGGTCGATACTCCTGTTTTCTGTCAAATAGCACTTAGTGAAGTGGTTTCTGTCAAATAGCATTTATATGCTCATTTGCTATGATTTTATTGAAGTGGTTTGTTAAGGTCATGATTAAATTACCCTGTGTTTTTTTACTATTTGAAAACAGTTTTATTCGTGCCAGATTACAATTTCATGTTTTCTTTAGTATTTTTTTATCGGGTTCTTCTTGCTACACATTATCCCTGCATTAGTGTTTTCTTTCAATTGTGGTAGACTTCATAAGCCGAAGGAATTTTTAAAAATAGATTATTTTTTATACTGCTAAAGGTATTCTCCTATCCCTTTGTTGGCATATCTCAAAGTAAAACTTTTCCAAGAATGTGAAATTATCATAGATAATCTTCCTTAAACCGAGTCTAAGGACATTGAAACGGGACAAATAATCTCCATTCATTGAAACTGCTCTTGTGGAATTAACTTTTAGATTTACCGTCAACCATGATTGATTTATATAATTAGGCAACAATGTCAAAAGGATGCTTAATTAAGAGGGTGACATTCACTAAAAAGAATCCCTCATTTTCTCTTAGTGGGTCAGTGACGAATCCCTCATACACGCTTAGCTGAAGCTTCTTAGCACAAACCCTTTTTGCTTAAATAGTTATTAAATGAATAATGTTTGTGCCTTATAGCAAGACATCATTTTGCCATTCTCCAAAGTCTTTCCAAATTAAAGTTAAAAGTGTGAAAAAAAGAGTAGAAACACATATAGGCTAATGTTTAGGGCCACTTCAACTTAATAGCAATTCATGAAGCTCTATGAAAGTTGAGACATTTGTGTCATGGCCTATAACACAGGTGGACCAACATCTACTATGGTTTGATATATATTAATTGACAGGCTCGAAATACATGGTTGGTGATGATTTTTTTGTCAAACCTCTAACACTGAAGGAAGTGGGGGTGGTTATTCCATTTTACCCTTTTGGTATCTAAGTAAGTGCTTTAAACTAATGATTTATAGATTGTTATGATTATTGTTCCTGTAATGTCTTAATCAAGGAATCCAGTTAACTGTACCTAAAGCAGGTTTAGATGACCCACTTATATCCTTCATTTGCATGCGGGAATGTCATTTCTTAAGATACTTTACCGTCCCATCTTTAAGTGAAATTTTAAAGCTGCAAGGAAAAAAGTGAAACCAAAGCAAAGCAATTATTTCAGAGAAGCATGCAATGTTAACCAATTAAACTTATGGCTAACTGCTTCAAACCATAAATAGAATGAAAATTGATCTTAAGCTCGAAGTTACTATATAGAGTTAGTAGATGAAAGGTCAAATCATTAGCAGTGAGACACTATAATAATGACTATATATTTAACACATTTATTTAAGTTACCCTCTAACAATGTTGCTTTAGAACGGGCGTAAGTTAATACTTAATAGTATCATGAGAATATTACAAGTTGTCTATGTCACTTTTATGCGCCACTAATTACAAATTGATACGTCAATTAAAGTTGCACCATAATAACTAATCAAAAGTTAACAAAACAAAAATGTGAATTTGTAATTGGTGACACATAGAAGTGACATAGACAACTTGTACACGATTCGAAATGACATGAACTAATATTGTAAGTTACTCGAGTCGAAATCACATGAACTAATTTTGTAAGTTTCAACTTATGTAGTCTCTACTCCAACATTGACACCAAAGACACTATTGATATCGACATTACACGAACAATGTCTAATACATCAAAGAAATTTGTCACTAAATTAATTCATTAAATATTACATTTTAATCAACTTAGTCATTAAAAGAAATTTGTCACTATATTAGTTTTTAATAGATTAAATTTTCTATTGATTTAATCCTCAATGAAATTTATCATCATATTGATCTCTCAAAGATTAAATTTGTAATGAAGTTGAGCTAGCGTCGATTTTAATAGACAGATAAATTGATGATTTTGCTTCCTTCCCAGGTTTGTGCCAATTCACTTAGTTTAACCATTTATAAAACTTATATATATTACTTGTTTTATATAATAGTTTCATCTTTCACATAGACAGATTGGTGGATAAAAGTTAGAAAAGGGTTATGATGACCTTGCGAAAGGTCAATACTCAATGCAATATTCTTGAAATGGTATTGGTGCAATTGTAACTGTGATGCACATTAATGGCAAACGCAAAATCATAAAATAATATGGGACCTAATTAATAAAATGACCCAAAAAAAATGAGTTAAACTCTTATCCATTATTACTAGAATTTGAGGAGGAAGAGAACTTTCCTAATTTAAAAAATATTGAAAAATAACTTAAAATTACAACAATTAAAGATTTTTATATTATCACATATCACAATCTCATTCAATACTAGAACTAAAGAAAATCTATATCCAAGAACACATCTTATCTGGTTTGCTTGCTAGTAATTACAAAGTAGATGTATTTATAAAATGGGGAGACATCTACTTACTCCAAGAGTAAGGGGAAAACACATACTCCACATCATGATCATTCATTTTTGGGAAATCCAATTGTTTGAATTGGTGAGTACATCTAAACCATTGGATTTTCCAAGATTGAATGACTAAGATGAAGAGTATATGTTTTCCACTTACCTTGGAGTAAGTCGATCTCTTCCCTTATAAAATTATAAAAATGGAAAATTGGCAAAATAATAATAAAAAAAGGAAGCGGAATCGAGATAAGTAAATATATAACATTTAAGGGACATGATGATGCAATTGTCATAAAACTTACACATGATCATGATTCATGGTGCAGTGAGGGATGGGTTAGGTTATCGATTACACGCAAGAACTGTTGAATAGTCATTGAGGGAATATCTTCCATTTAAGTGCAACATGGATACAAGTGGAGTAAGCATTTGAATTTGTCAGCACAAATATAGCACCATAGTATTTTTTTTTTCTTTTAGAGTTTAAAATCCTTTAGCAAATGATCAAATTCAGTTCTCAAAACAAAAGCAACAAACAAAGTAGCAGAGAAAAGAGAGAGGGCCACGTTTTCTTCTCCCTACGCTTACCTACATATCCCACTCATAATCAATATATATCACACTCTCATCATCATATACATATAGTATTAATAATTCTACATTTTTTTGGTTAATACAACAATTTTATAACGCATCAATCATGTGCATGCTAATTAGTAATATAAAAACAATGCAAAGTTTATGTGTAAAATTAAGAAAGCTATTTCATATTTCATCTAAACTAATTCATATTTCATCTGCCTGCGAACTCTTATATTTGTTAGTTGCTAGGATTTTTGACTGAGAGGCTAGGTTTACTTTCCAGTTCATTCTAAATGGGGAAATTGATGCAGCAGAAATATATTGTTTACAAATTCACAATTAAAATCTAAATGTCATGCAAAATTAATGGTGCTAATGGCAAAAACATTAAGAAGTTATTAATATTTACCACCATTAATTCTTTAAGTGAAATTGTGCATCATCTTGCAAACACACACCCCTGTCTTGTGCCATATAAAAAGGGGTCTTAGTTATGGTTCCGTGATGACAAACTTATGACAGATAACAGAGTAATGTACATTATAAATCTGGACTTCTCAGTGTTTTTGTAGTTTGCTTCTATAGTCTACCGATATCTAGGTGTCTACATATACATATACATATATGAACAATTTTCATATAAGATTTGTGAGAAAAATAAACATGGGTATTACGATTCATCATGAATGATTATGATTAAAAATTAGTTATTGATCATGTGATAGTCATGTGCACATATTTTTTAATTTTGACCATTTAAATAAGATCCAATTGTTTCTATTAATTGTTCTCATTACTTACAATATCGGAAATGGATGAAAGATTATGTTACTAAATATTTTAAATTTCTTCAGCTTATTTCTCTTCCTTCAAAAATATTGTCATTTAAGATATTGGCAGTTATATATGGTTATCATCCTAAGTAAGATTTTCTTATTGTATTTAAGACTATTAATGCTAATGTTGCACTCTTATGAAAAATATATTGCTGAATTTTCTCTTGCTTTCTTTTACCTTGATCCATTTTCAATCATTATTGTGCTGAGTGTTCTTGCAGTTTCGTTTTATTTATCATAAATGTAATAAATTATGCAGTTGCAATGTAATTATAGAGTGCTATAATAGTCATTAAGTACAATTTAAAACCATTATATATAGACAGAGATGTGTGTAAGTAAGCACTAGCGAGTATATGCAAGAGAACAGTAATATATTTTGGTAGGGGAATTGAATAGAATAGTCATAGAAGTGATGGATGGATGGTTAGTGATGCAAGAAGTAAGGTACAGTGGGGGATCTGGGGGCCACAGTTTTCAGTGCATACGTTATATAAATACGTGCCTTTGTGTTTGTGTATGTATATGTGTTATTAGTAGTACGTGAGAGAGAGAGAGAGAAAAAGCTGCAAAAGAATATAAAAATGGAAATCGCTGTCTTCCCATTATTTTTCTCGTCATGTCAGCATCTATTTTCCTTTTCCCCGCAATTCCCTCTCTCTCTATAAACTCAACGTAGAGAAGTGACAATGCAACTTTTCCATCCTTCATTTCCGTCCCGTAATAATGTGTTATGAGATTCTTGTTCATTAATTCCACGTTGTCCAGTTATATTACGAGAAGGACGTTGTTGGTGGCGTGAGAGTAGAGATGGATGATGCTTGATTGGTGACACAGACATGGTCGTGAGTATATCGACAAAACTTGCTTGTTTCTCCTTCTGTCTTGCTCTATCTGAGGTTTCCCCTTAGCTGACACTAGAGGCTGGATTTTCCGTCCAACAAACTCATGTCTTCATGTCTCAACTCAATCAAATCTACCGAATAATATACAAAATATAGTTTCTCTTTTTATGATTTTTATTTGTAAATATGTGGCGATTTTTTATTAGATTGGGGCACCATTGTGACACAAAAAGTTAGACGGTTGATCTTGACTAACACTATCTTTATAAAAGAAAATTAAGACTTCTAAAAATATAAGTTGCACATTTGAATAGCTTTGGGAAGAAAATAACAATGAGTTTTCATGTATTTCTCATGAATTTACCGACATAAAGTTGTGGCAAGTATTTTTTTTTTCATTATAGAAGTAATTCAAAAATAATTTTTTATAGACAAATATTAATATTTTTATTGTAAATGAGACTCAAATCTACAACTTTATTCACTTCATTCCTTAAATTTTTTACTATATCCATCAGGTTACCTTATGACTTAGATAATTCATTATAATTTATCTCACATACAAATATTTTACATACTGTGATTTCCTAAATTAATTTATTATAGAAAAAAGGAGCTAAAGAACGTAGAACGTCATATTGTGCAGCAACAAGCTAAGCATAATTCTATTAAAATGATGAACTTAGGAACATGGACACTGTAATGCAATGGCCTTCTTGAATGTTGATGCTCTAATGTATAAAGATAATAGATACAAAACAGAAAAATGAGAAAAATACAAAGATTGGTAAAATATAGAAATTTTAATAATTTATATTATATTAAGTTATAACTACTTCATTGAAATCTTTGTACATTCATACGTACTATTCGACAATAAATGTGAGCTTAAAAAACGGGTGCAATGCAACAAATAATTTCCATTCCACAATTTATCTATTTAGTAGGGTGAAAAGTCTTATATTGATTTTTGGGTGTGAAATTGAAAACATCTCACTAAGTATCACATAAGAAGATTTAAAAAAAAAATATCACAAATCCCACATATGAGGATACATGAATTTTAACAAAATCTCATGCTATAAATAGAAGCATTCTTTCTTCCTATTTTCTTGCATCAAGTTGAATATACTTTTACTTAAATTTTTCTTTATCTCTCATATTTTCCGCCGACGCATTTCTGACAAACTCCTCCCCTTTCTTTCTGTGACAGGCAACCATATTGTGCGAAGTTCGGAAACTGACACTGATAGTCATATTGTAGGAAAAGAATTGGCACAGGTAGCCAAATTGCAGGAATTTCGAGAACTGACACTCATAGTCAAATTGTGGGAAAAGAGTTGGCATTGTGACAATATTGTGGGAATTTCGAGAATTGATACTAGTAGCCATATTGTGGTGGGTGTATTCAAGGTCGGTTTTTACGGTGCATTAAGAATTCGATAATAGAGAACTCGATTGTTTTATCTTGGGGACGACGTGGTTGATAATATGTTTGCATATTTTGGGCAGTACCACGAAACGTCTTAAAGAGAACGACTTGGTCGTGACTCAGCCAATAAGTATTATTTTGTGCCATTTAGAATTGCTGCAAATTACAGTAACAACACTGTCAGTGTAAATATTTATATATAATTAACATATTATCTATTGATTTATATTACATTTTTTGAAAAGTGAATAATGATAAAATGTGGATATGATGGATAATGCAATAACATTATATATAACTCATACATTATCTAGCCATTCATTTTTTCACATGGTGAAATAATACACTTGGTTTCATTATTGGCCTTTTATTTATACCTACCTTATTCTTTAACATATAAGCTACTTGTCTTTGGTATAATTACCAAATGAATGTAAGATTGATTTGTTCATTTTGTTAAGATAATCAAATAAAGACAAACCATGAAATTTCTAATGTGTTGTTCACAGAAGATGGCAAACATGCATGTTTGCTTAGTAGTAAGTACTCTCTTTGAGAATTGAAAATAACTTTATAGTCTTTCCTAAATCATGTTATGTCTAACACAATCATTAATTTTTCTATTTTTTTCATTATCATTAATGTGAGACATGATTTGAGATGTAGTTTAGTACAACTATTCTTATTCATATGACAATATTAGTCATTTGGAAAATCTAAATTTTAATTTTTTAGTCAGGCCACACTATAGACACTTATTAGCTATTACAAACCAAATATTTTACTCTATACAACCTGAGTATTTTTTAATTCTTAATTGATGTTCGAATGCATTTGTCTTGTTACTACTCATTTAAAAATTGACAAGGAGCAGAGACTCTATCATTTGAATACTTTAAAATAAACACTTAATAATAATTAAATATATAATGAAATACACCTCCATTACTCTATTATAATAGTCGTAGTTTAACCGTGCACAGAGCTACAAAATCTACTGTTTATTTCACCTTTATTTTCCTATTCTTTCTGCATCTATTTGGCAAAGTGAATAAATGCATGTTGACGCAAAAAGCTCATCACGCATGTCTGAGAAGACCACACGTTGCTGCAGCAGCCTTTAATGCCGACAACATACATTTTGATATGTAATTCCTGTAATGTAGTATTCTAACATAGTATGTATTCGGATACTAATCTTACACTTATATATTAATATACGTTGTGATTTGCACAAAAAAGTATTTCAATATAAATTGGCATATTGTTACTTGTGCTTTTTAATTTTCAACTAGATAATTACGTGAGAGGAAAAAATAATCAATTATGTGAATACATAAATTTTGGAAACACAAACTCAGCCTCAGCTCCCACTTGTATAGGATTTGAGTTTCCTCATGTGTGGGAACAAACTGCAAAACAAACACGAGCTCCAACATCTGCTCCTTAACTTCACACGCATCCTCCACGCGCCTCCATCCCATGGCCCCATCTAATTTCAGTTCGTTTCAGGTGCGAGAATGCGTGCACACCCAAACACCAACATAACAAAATTATTTATTGTTCATTTTCAAGTTTTAAAAAATATGACTACTTACTTTTTCAATTATGTTTGTAGCATTAATGATAATTTAAGGCTTTATTTGCTTCAAGAGGGGAAAATGATAGAAGGAGAAAGAAAGAGGAAGAAAAATGTGAGAAATATAATAAATTTTTGTATTGTTTGATATTAAATAATAGAAGAAAAAATATAGACATAAATTTTTAAATGACAAAAATATCCATAAAATAAAGAGAGTACGAAGAAGTCAAAGAGAGTGGTTACATAGGTTTTTTTGTCATTTTACTCTCACACGGTGGGATTTATGTAATTTGTATCTAGGGAAATAATTAACTTCTATACAACTTTTTTCTCCTTAACTTATTTCATATCTTTTTATATACAACCAAATCAATGCTAATATAAATAGATAAGAAGTGGAATATAGATACACGAGTAAATATTTATAGACACATATTATATTATTCATTGTTTATTTATATTACTTTTTTGATAAAACAAAAAAACTAAATATGAATGACAAATGATACAATAATATTATATAAAACTCATAATGGTCAATAAATACATTTTTCCTCTTAACTGGGTTGTGGGTTGACTTATGATTTTATTTCAAAATTTTTAATATACTCTTTTATTTTTTCATATGTTTTCTCTTTCCTAGAGGTTTGGCATATATGAACTTCCCATTAAAACAAAATATTCATATACTTAGATAAAATAAATTTGTGTTAATTTGGGAAAAAATATCCATGTGATTTCTTTTTGATATTATTAGAATATCATTTATCCTTATGGATAATGAACTAATCATTTTCATATATATATAATAATCTTTTGTCTTAAATTGTATCCTAAACTATATCTCGAACCAATCATATTAAAACAAAAACAAAAAAATAATAAATATTTTATTTTTCAATTAACATAACGTATTTTTATTAGTCCGAAACATGATTTGGGACAATAAACTTTGCCCTACTACATTTATAGCTAATTAACTACTTGGACTACCTTTCAATTTTCATCAAATTTGAAAATAAATTAGAAGCTCAATTAGTTAATTAGAGGTATTAGTATATTATATATTTTTTAAAATAATACAATATCTATTTTAGAATTATGGTATTTTCCATGTATATTTTATTTTCTGATTTAACCTATCTGTCATTTCTCTACGCCAGCTACTGGGTCAGAGTAATACTTGTCCTTGATAGTATTGAAGGTAAAATTTACTTATTCACCTCTATTCGGTGAAAACTTAAAATAACCAGGTCACCAATATAGCCAGTGGAAGATGATAATATACTATTAGTAACATAGAGTTATTTCATGATTTCTGAGGTTTCATCAGAGAGAGAGAGAGAGAGAGACGTGCAAAAGTATATGAATGCATCCCCTTTGGACAAAGATAGCTACACGACACAACAAATTAGAGAGAGAATAAATAGTGAGCGTTTTCTAGCTTCTTCACCTTAATTAATTAACTTCCCAAATACCATTTTCATTGTCATAGTTACGTACCCATCATAGTTTCTTTTTCGGTGTTTCAATTTTAATTTTGAAATGGAATTCGAAGATCAAGAGGAGCAAGAGGAAGAGCTTTGTTTCAACCCAATGGATAACCCGAGCCGGGTTAAAATGTCCGGTTCAGTTGAACCCATGGTGATGCCTCAACCTGTTAGGAGCAGCAACAACGCGAGGTACAGGGAGTGTTTGAAGAACCACGCCGTCGGCATCGGCGGTCACGCTCTCGACGGCTGCGGGGAGTTCATGCCGGCTGGAACAGAAGGAACCTTCGACGCACTCAAATGCGCCGCCTGCAACTGCCATCGCAATTTCCACCGCAAGGAAACCGACCCCGCTGCCATTGTCACCGGTTCAGACCCTTTCCTCCTAACTAACCACCCTCACCACTACCAGCCACCACCGCATTTTGCGGCGTACTACCGTTCCCCGGCAGGGTACCTTCACGTGGGGGGAGGACACCACCAGAGAGGTGCTGTGCCGGGAGGTGCACTAGCTCTGCCGTCGACCTCTGGTGGCGGCTTAAGAGGATGTGGGACCCAGAGCATGAGGGAGGATCAAGAAGATATGTCGTATCCAATGAGTGGTGGAGGGTCGAAGAAGAGACACAGGACAAAGTTCACACAGGAGCAGAAGGACAAAATGCTTGAACTTGCGGAGAGACTAGGTTGGAGAATTCAGAAGCATGATGAGAGTGTGGTCCAGGAGTTCAGTAACGAGACTGGGGTCAAGCGTCACGTTCTTAAGATTTGGATGCATAACAACAAGCACACTCTTGGTAAGAAGCCCTAGACAACA